CCTTCCTGATGCCTCTCTGCACTGCCCCAGGAATTGGGTGAAATGCTCTTCTCATTTACTTCCACCACACTAGGAATACGTCATAACCCTCATGGACAGCAAGGACCCGAGTTCAGTCTCCCTACATCTGCTTTGCACACATACATGGCTTGTAGGTGCCTCCACACAAACCTCTCACCTTTTGCTGGTGGGCTCTTCCATCTCCCAGAGGTCCAGCAAGATCCAGTGACTAGAAGCTGGAATGTGACCTATTTGAATTAGAAACAGGGTGCAAATTCAAACAGCACAGGTAGTTTAACAACTGGGACAATTTACCACAGGCTGTGCTGGCACCTATGATAGCTTAAAATCAGGATACCGGATGTTTTTAAATGACCACTGTCGAAAAGGAATTGATTCAGACATCCTCTACCTAAGTGTTTACCCTGCATTACCGTGCCGTATTATCCTATAATTGGTTGTTAGGTCAGGATTGTAACCTGGCAGGTTCCTCTTCGTTGTCTAATTAGTGTTTCTTCCCATTGCTCAGTGCAGGACTTGGTTTTTATCGCCTACAGATCTCCATGTCCTGTGCACACCCCTTACAACAGAAACTTATTCCCTCTCCCCCTCACAATGAACCCCAATGCAGAAGAGCAGTGTTCGTGCTGACACAAAGTCTCTAACAAAACAAGCTTGAGGCAGTTCAAGTGTTGCAAACTTGGCAGCAGAAGCCAATTTACTATTCAGACACTGTACATCTCCCTCCTTCCTAATCAGCAACCCTGCAGTGACATGAGTCATTCACCTTCCCTTCCTCTTAAAGCACAGGCTTTCCTGGGGCCCAGCCAACACATGGCACTGCACAGAGGTGTGCCATGTGAAGACATGGCTCTTGCAATGACACATCCTCCCCTACTGCATGACCAGTCTGCTGTCCCCCAGCACTTGGCTTATGTAGGGTGTGAGTTATTGGTAGCACAAGCCCTTGTCTGTCTTCAGCTGTGTAAAGTGCCTGTAAATCCACAGAGCGATAGCCAAAACACAGCATCACCCTAGTCATCATGCAAATCTCTTATCTCTCTAGAACCCGCAGCTAGGCTTAGCCAACTTCCTCCTGTATTTTGGCCTCAAAAACACAGCTCATTTCTTATCCCAGTCAATGGTTCTGCTCTTGCAAAATCAGGTATAAAGGCCAGCAGAACCTGGCTCCCCATGCCATCAATATTTTACCAGGTCCTAGACAGAGCAGTACCAGGAACAATGGACGACAACAACAAACTGGAACAGAAATGGGGACAAACTGGAAAGCGTTTGCAGAAACCCCAAATTAAACTAGACTGAGATGTCTGGCCCAATGCATTAGGGAAGATTAAAAGACTTAATCTGCATAGCTTGGCTGAACATCACAACTAGACAGCTATAGCCTGGCTTCAAAGGAAGACACTAAACTGTACCCTGGTCCAGGGAATTGGCATTAGAGGCAATGAGGCGACACTAGTTTGGACAACAAGAGCTATTTCAGCAATTAGGAATGGGATGTGGTACCTGGTTCTCCTATATCTAGACACAAATCTGTAGAGCAGGAGAGGAAGCTTGACCCTGTGCTGCCTCTACTTGCAGAGCAAACTCTTGCTGGGACTGCTCTGCCCCAGGCACCACTGCATGTCCCACAGTGTCTTGCAGGAACATTATTTGCCCCAGATAGGACTCAGAGGTCTTTGTATATTTCTCCCGAGGGTGGCTTCAGGTTGTATGTGGTGAGGTACTGAGGGATACGTGGGTTGTTTCATTAAAGCTGGCAACACGGGCATAAGGAGCAAGGTCCTGGAGCACCCAACACTTCAGCCCTTCCAGAGGACCACACTCCTACCAATAGCACAGACACGATTTACCCAAACAGCCCAAAGCTTTGCTGGCCCTCAGGAGTGGGGGAATCTTATCAGATCAGCCTCTGATTTCCTCTGTTTCCACAGCACAAGCAAGTATGCAAAGAAGTAAGATGACATTTGGCTTCTTGCAGAGAACAGCAGATAATTTAGTGAGATTAAAGTACAGCCTCCTCTCCCACAGAAACCATCTCAGCTTGGCCTGACCTGGCTCCACTGGAAGGATGCGGCTCGAGCGCCTCTTTGTGGATCTGAGCTCCTCTCCCTCAAGCTCACACAAACCTCAATCCACAAACTGAGCTTTTCATTTTATTTTATTCTTAAAATACAGAGCCAAACTGCCCCTATGCCCAGGTAGCACCTCTGAGTTCACTGAGCTTGGTGCTGAGCTAGGAGTTAGCCCAGCCAGAACTCCTGCAGTTTCATCTTTTGATAGTGCTATATGTGATACCTCTCAAGGCCTTTCTATAGTTTCCAGCAGCAGAATAGCTCAAATTGATTCAGACTTACAGCTGCCAAGGCTCATTGAGAGACTGGGAATAGAAGAAGAGCTGGCAAGGACATCTTCTTTAGAACAAGCAGTCAGATGCCTCTAGTCCTCTCCAGAACGTGCTGTGTAGCTCAGCACACAGCTCCATCACCAACACACATGTCAACACACCAATCATAGCAATTTTTCTGCATCCCTTTGAAGAAGCAGGAAACAAATGGTCCCCTGCTGAAGTCATGAGCAAAAACAAAGGCTCTTCATCAGCCTCCTGCAGCTGCTTGTTGTTTTCCTTTCTCTGTGGAGCCTGCCAGCTCCTGGTTATCTTGGCCAAGCACATGATTAGAGTTTTAGAGCAAATTCGAACTGCAAACAAACAAGCACATCTAGAGATGAATACACACAAACTAGTGGATGCACAGTACATCTAAGTGACTAGCAGATCTGTCCTGCCTCTTCTGATGTTAGGCAAGCCCTGCTCCTCTTCTGGATGGAAAGCAGATGGGGTAGGATTAAGGGCACAGATCCTCAAGTCCTTCACATTTGCACAAATAGCAAGAACTAGACCCAGTGCTGTTCAAGAGGCCATGGATTAGTTGTACAGACTCTCTGCAGCATGGGAAGCAGTGTAGGAATAGGAATTCCAGCCTTGAATAATCCCCTGTGCCCAGTTGTGGCAGAAGGCCCATTGTTTCTTAAAGAACCACAGAAACAAAATAATTGTTACTGCCACCACAGTGAGAACAGAAGAAAGGATCAAGGATTCACTTGTTCAGTGTTGAACCAGGTGGCTCAGTTTAAACAGGCATTGAGGATGATTTGAGCTAACCCGCTTGACTTTGCACTGAAGCAGATGGCAAGTGCTCACACAACCCAGTATCAATATCTGTAACAATCAGATGAGCTGCGAAGCTGTAATCTGTGGCAGATGGAAAATGACAGCACAAAAGGCTTTGCTATGGCCCTCAAAGCCCTTCACAAAGGTAGCAAATAGGAAGGTTTAATTCAGATAGTTTTTCATTCTCCAGAGCAAAACCAGGCATCTGGGACTGAAACAAGCGGAATGCTTCTCCCCTTTCCTGGATGACTTTATGTCCAGAGGATGACCTGAGGCCTCTCATCAACCCCCAATCCAAAATAAGAAAACTTGCTATGATAAAATTAAATGGGCCCTTCACATTGGAGTGTCTACAGAGCTGAGTCTCTGCTGAATCCCTGGCTCCCTGCAGTGATGCTCTGCCAAACCTTTGGGGGAGTCACTAGAAGGAGACTCAGAGAACACACAGCTCACCCATGCACATGGACTGGAGGGGTTGCTGGCAGATTTGTCAGATTCCTTGTGGGTTAGGCAGACATCCTGGAAGCACAATCAGCTGTAAAAAGACGGAGGCTTCCTCCTGGTTTTTATGCTCAAGAAATCATATGTCTGATCTGCTTGAGAATGGATTATTTTGGAAGACACCCAGTGCAACATGCAGGCAGGCTGAGAGCCCCCAGCTGAGTGGTCAGACTCTGCAGTTAGTGTTTAGATGCTTCCAATCTCCCATGGGACTACAGACCTGAAAATACTGACAAGTGAAAGACTGACCAGGGACCCTGCCTACTTTTTTGCCCCATCTGTCACGTACACAGGGCAAGCTGGCAAATTAATATACTTCTGGAGTAAGAAAAAAATACATGGATGCTTGACCTTGCATTGTCCCTGCTAGTTTTTCTCTTGTGTTGCCTGTAGCAGGGATGCTTCAGCTTTTTATGGCCCTTGACCTATGTGCTGGTCAAGCTCCTGGCCTGTCTTTGGCTCAACACAGCCCTGACTTCTCTGAACCCTTTAAGCTTCAGTCCTGTTCTTCAGTGACATCAGATCTAGGCTTGGACATCAGTTCTAGCCTGACCTTAACCCAGAGAGCTCCCCTGCACTTTTCCAGGCTGCAATCCCCTAGCAGTCTTACCCCAAACCTGCCTGCTTTGAAGTCAAAAAAACCAACTAAATTGCAGAACAGCCTAGCTCACACTGCAGAGCATGTCCCCGCTGCTTGGTGCTGCTATGCTCCGGGGGACACTTTCAAGGCTGATTTGTTGCCTGGTTTGCAAAGAGCAGGTCTCTTGCTAAGCACAAGGATGCTGCTGCCCATCTGGGGCAGAGCAGAAGATGAGACACATTGGTGATCCCTGGCAACAGAAGGACAAAGCATCAGTCTGACAAAATACCAGCCCTGTGAAAAGCAAGAGACTTCTACTGGAGAAAAAGCTTTATTAAAGAGGGACATTGTAACACACCGTATGTCTGTGATGCTCCAGGCCTCTGGGAGGACTCAGAGATCCAGCACAAATACCTAGCTGAGCCACACACGGGCTGGGCCTGCCACTTCAATGAGAGGCCTTTCCTACCTCCACACTCTTCCATCAGTAATGGTTGTGCCTGATGGAGAGGGGCTTATGCTGCGGGTTAGGTAAGGAAAGAGGCAGGATGCAGATCTTTGTGGCTGAGCAGTAGCAGGCAAGCAGCTACTTGGGATGACAAATTGCTCCAGGCTGAAAAGGAACAGGATAGATTTGAATAGAGGTGCTGTCAAACTATCAGTGCTGGATGGCGGGGCTGCAGGACTGTGACAGTGCAGAGCCTGGCCCTTGGGATGCAAGGCTCACTACGGCTTCTTCTGTCCCTTCTTTTTCTGTCTCTCCTCATCCATGGCAGCTGCTTGTGCCTGCAGCCGGCTCCAGAACTCAGGCAACTGCTCCCTGAGTCCCAGCAAGCTCTTCTGCCTAATGAGGGAAGAAGAGGGTGGTTAAAACAATGCCTGTCATTGCCCTGGTGCTCAGACAATCATACCTGTTCCCCAAAGGGTCCCTGGGGCTCACTACAAATTAAGCAGCTCAGACCTTTTGTATCCCAAACCCTCAGTGATTCCCTCATGCCACTCAGCACTCAAGTTTACTGCTCTTGACAGCAACGAACTCCACATTTCTCTTTGTCTCTTAGCTTCTGTAGACACAGGTCTCACTGCAGTTATATTTGCTCTGCTCTGGCTTCAGCTCTCAGTATCCAGGGAGCAAGACATCCCTGGTTGTGATGCCTCCCCAGTTTTTCTGGTATAAGGCAGACAAGAGTCTCCTCTCCAGCTTTATGAGAAGAAGGGACAGAACTGGTGACTGGTAGCATAGTATAGAACTTTTCTGCATTTAACTAGCCAGACAGCACCACAGCATTCACCCTGGAGACAAGGAATTAGGGAAGACTACCAGGTGATATCTGCTGTAAGTCATACCTGCACCTGCAGGTATAGAGAATTAAGCCATAGTGAAAAGAACAAACAGAAGAATACCATTGACACGGCTCTGGCTCCACGTTCCGAAAAGAATTCAAGGAAAAGTCAGCTCAATAAGAGATGTCACATTGCCATCTAGTGACAACATGAACTCAATGCAGCAGCTAAACCGCAACCTCGGCCTCAGGGTACTTGGAGACCTTCTCAAACCGAGAAACCTCCAACACAAATCTACTTAAACGTCAAATGAACCTATGAATGGAGGGGAGGAGCAAGGTACAAAATGTTCCCAGCTCTGCCTGGCTATGGGGTCAAAAGAAAGATGTAGACACTCAAGTGAGGCTCATATTCCCTGACAATGTTCCCTGAACATCAACCTTACCCAGACATAAATCTGTCACAGCACACAGAAGAACCGAGAAGCTCCAGGGTGAGCACTTACCTGTCAAGCGCACTTACCTGTCAAGCAGAAGGAGAACCTTACCTATTACGTAAGAAAATGTTACATCTCTCAAACCATGTCAGGTTCTGCAACGATTTGAGAGGCAAATCTGGTTCCTTTGGGAAAGCCTCCTTCAGTGGGTAGGAGTTGAAGTCAAAAAGGAAGATGGTACTGTGACTGGCCAATGCATCTACCTGCTGCTGCTTATCTCCTAGTCAGAAACAAGAACAGTGGGCTATTGCATCAGGAGTCATCCAGTAAGATGAATTATCACAGATCAGTACACAGCTGAATGCACCCAATGACCATGTATATAAGACCACGTAGGGTGCTACCCACCTCGAAGCAGCAAGCACCAATTCACACTATCCACTGTGAACACTGGCTGCCAGGGGGATGCTACAGCATAAGAAGGTGGAATAATGAAGCAGTAAACAATCTGTGATGTGTCAGTGTTCATCAGGGACACTTTGCCATTCCAGGAGAAGACCAGCACCTGAAACAGCAAGTTGACACTTAGAACTAGATGTAAAACAAGTGAAATGCATTTCCTGGGAAGAATATGGAATGACAGTACTTCATATCCTCAACTATGATGCTGGGGGGTTTTGCTTGCCCTGTCAGTTGTCACCAGGCCACAGCAGATCAAAAAAGAGGCTGTGCAGGGAACTTGGACTGGAATTGCTGCAGGCTGGGATTGGAAAAGAGCAGTAGAGCAGGTTATAAATTAACTAGATCCAGCCTCTTGCATGGCTGGCTCTGGTGAGCAGCTTTTAGTCCTTTTCTCCGATGCCTGATAACTTTCTGAGGCCACTTGAAAGGTCTGGCTGGACTTCTGCTTGTAACTTCTTCACTGTGATGCCCTCTCATACCTGACTCTGATGCCTGAAGCTTCATGGCTGACCCCTCTCATCTTTGCAGTTGGACCTGCCCATATGCAGAGGCCCTCCAGTGCCTCCCGCCTCAGTGGTCAATTAGAAGACAGTGGTGCAAGTGGATACTAAGTAAGATCATGGAAGAGAAATCCTTTGAGAGTGATCAGTTACATACAGACCTGTAACTGGTGCAGGAATTCCCCATGCTAAGAATAGTTGGGAAAGGATGTGGGGGCAGTACCATATCTGATGGCCCTGTTCTTTATCTTCTAGGCATCTAGTTGCAGACATTACTGGAAACAGGATCCCAGCACAGATGGACCTGTGTTCTCACCCAGTTCTTAAGAGAGCTGGCAGTAATACTCACTGCACTGGGGAATGCCAGGACAGGCACCACCGCACTGACAGCAAGATTTGGATCTTGAGGCCTGTAAAACAGATTCAAACTTATGCCACTGTCCATGTACTCGACATGTTCTGGCAGGCTGTGATAATGACAATGGCAGTTTGTGGCACACTGGCTGGCCTGAAGTTCCAGCCAAGCCCCTTCTCTATGGAGACAAAGCCTGACTCCTTCCAGGCAGGAACTCGAGGCCCATTCCTGTGCAAAGCTGCCTAGGAACTATGTTGGAGATACAAATCCCCCTGCCTGGCATGGAGGCATGAAACCATAGTCTTTAGAGCAGCACCTCCTGCAAAGCTGACCCTTCTTCTCCAAACAATGGGATAAGTGAACATAAAATTGACAGAAAGATGGCAAGAAATGCTTATTCTGACTTCTGGTAAGGGCAGAAAAGAGAAGCAAAAATTGCCCAGAGTACCTGCAGAGACCCAGCTAGTTGAACATCAGCCCTGACGCATTGCTAAAAGCACTTGTGTTCTGGGGTATAGAAAAATCCAGAAAACCCCTAATTCTGCCATAACCATCAGCTTTTAGCACTGGAACTGACTCCTAGCAAAACCACACTGGCTGCTGACAGCAGCATGGCAGAGCTATCTGGGTAAAAGCAGTAGAAACTTCTCTACTCCATAGAAATATGGGTCTCCCTGCTGGACCTGACCACTATTCCACATGGTTTCTTTGGCTGGAGTGAGCTCTGCCAGAGTCTACCTCACCTGTCTGCCAGGAGCGTGATGCTGGACTTCTCAGCCCTGGGTGCTTTCACCAAGTAGAGAGCACTGTCTGTACATAGCACTAGAAGCTGCACAATGGGATAGGCAGGATCTGTACCAGGACATGGTGTCTCATCGCTGGTAGCTGCTGAACTCCGTAGGAAGTGGATGCTACGGATGAGGCGTTCCTCTAGAATAGTTGTCACAGACAGGGGGTATCCTGGGGAAGATACAAAACAGGGACAGCAGTTTAGGAAGAAAAAGGAACTGACAATTTATGCAAGGAAAGCTTAGCTTGGGGTATGGCCTGCCCAGGGCAGCAGCCACCAGAAAATCCTGATGGCAGAAGATTCTTCTGCCAGGAGAATCCCTGCGTCACGGCAGAATAACACTGGCACTGATGGCAGCCTGGCCTGCGATGCCAGCACAACCTCAAAGATGACCTATGGGGGCAGTGGCAAAGCAGTGACTGTCACTGTCTCACAGCCTCGGGGCAAGCCAGCTCAGTCCTTGCTGCAGCACTTCACAGCCCCTGCACTGCTGTGGATGGGAATGGTTCTGCAAAGGCCAGGTAGTCACGCTGAGTTGGCAGCTTCTGGCCAAGCAGCCAATGAACAAATGAGTCCCAAGTACTTTCAGATTTGCTTGTAAACTCACTGCCAGTCCCTTGTTGCCACCAAGCCAGAGCTTTAAACTCCTAGGGAAAAGAGCAGCTTATCCACAGTGAACCCAATACACAGTCCCAAAGGGTAAGCTCACCTAGCTGTTTATCCCAAATAGTTATTGTTGCATCTTCACATGCCAGTGCCAGGTACCTGGAGCAAGAACTGACAGCTGAGCACACAACTGGAGCTGCACATGGCCACACAACATCAGGGTTCGGATCAGAGTCTAAACAGAAGGACATGAAGAGAGCCAACTGTAAGAAGGTGCAGAGCAATCTCCAATAGTATTAGCATCCAGTTTCCCAACAAAACATGCACCATTCTGTGGTCTCCTGCCAGTGTGGCTTCACTAAAAACACTGCAAGCCTGTGCAACATGGAGCCCCACAGTTCGAACACCAGCCTAACCCACACAGTATGAGGCAGCTCTCCTCCCCATTCCTCATTTCCCTGAACCATGGCAATCTGGCTGAATGACAGGCACTGTCCACTGACTACTCCCACTCCCCACAGAGTGCTCTGCTAAAGAAAGCAAGACGTTCTTACCAACTTTCTCCTTAAGTGAATGGTTAAGTAAGTAGAAGCAGAGATTGTGGCTTCCATCCCAGTGCACACTGATGCCAGCTGGAACATCTGGTACAGAGAAGGGGATGACAAAAGAGAGAAAGAGACTGGAGACAAAGAAAGGAACAATCCAAAACACCAAAACAGCATAAGAAAGCTGTCATTGAGCTCTCACAGTTTCTTTGATGGGACTTACAGAAATTCCGCTCACACAGAAACTAAGCCAGAACAAAACTTTTATCCAGGCTTATGTCCTTGGAGATGGAATGTATATAGTGAACCCAAGCTAGAGCCACTGAGTTCTAACTCAAAAGAGCTCAAAGTCATGCAATGACATGTTTCAAATGGGCAAAAAGCTGTTAACCTATGGATTACCTGGCTGTAGTTTCTTTCCAGGTCGAACCTGTAGGATCTGGCTAGGCAGGAGAAAGTGAAAAGTAGCATGTCTGAAAAAAAAGAAAGGAAGAAATATATCTATAACAAAGGCTTTGCTGAGTAGGCAGCACTGTGGCAAGACCTGGAATGGCTCTAGTCCCTGCCCTGAAGCCTTGGAATGAAGAAGGCAAAGCTAATACAGAGGCTTCCATCTACACTTGAAAAGTGCCCTGTGTTGGTATCTCATGGGCTGGCTGGTGCTCCCACTGACCTGGGCATCTCCTCTGTGCTCTTGCTCTCATCCTCGGCTTCCACGTACTCCCAATACGTGCTGCGGAAGATTGCTTCCCACTGTTCCCACTGGGAATCCTTGATTAGGTGATTGTACCCCAAGCCAAGCACACTGTCATCATCCACTTTCTTCAAGGCATCCAAAGGGTTTTTAAAACTACTGCCTGCATTGGGAACATGAAGGGAAAATGCACAGCCCTGGAGAAGGAGACACCACAGAGCAGACACCATAGAGTGTTCAGAGGCAGTTTGACCATCCCTCCTTCAGGTTGGCACTGTCTGGAAGAGCGACATACTGCATCTTCCCTGGGACTTTCCATATCACCAGCCCATTTTCCAGTATTTGAAGGCAAGGACCAGGGCAAGTCATGTGAGGACACAGCTCACCTTGCATTTCTGTGGCCTTCTCCCCGACAGTGTCCCAGCACAAGGTCTGCTCCCTCCTCACCCTCAGCATTTACCTAAAATCCAGGACTCTCAGAGATGAACTAGGGGTGCTGTCAGGTTGACAGAGACTAGGAAACAACCTCCTCCCTCTGCAGTGACAACGCAGCCGAGGGTATATGACACCATATATGAGGGTATATGCTACAAAGGTGACACATGAGATGGTCAGGTAAGAAACAGCTCCTGCTAGAGGATTACATGTAACTACAAAGACAGGTCAGGAAGGGACCAGGGAGCACGTTACTGGAACTTTCTGACCTGTCTGTAGCCATAATGGCCATGATTCCTCTGTCACCTGAAGGAGGGTGTAGGTTGCAAGTACAGAATCAGTTCTGACCTGTAATGGGTTTGGGTGGCTTCACTATCAGCAGCAGCACTGGGAGACTCAACTTCAGATCAACTTTATTTGCAGCCACAGGAGACTCCTGCAACAGAAAATATCAGCCTGAGAACTGTGTTGTGCCCTACACTGTTAAGTTTTCACCTGTTTATGGGAACCAAATGCTTCCTAAAGAAAGTGCATGCAAAGGTTGGCTAACACTCCCTAGGAGATACTGGGTTTAGGCTCATTCTTCAGGCTGGAAGCTTGACGGAAGTCACTACTTTCCCAACAACATTACAAAAGATGTTTTGCCCTAACATCTCCTGTCTTTGTGTCCTAAATAACCTCCCCTTCTGATCTTCTTAATCTCTCTAAATTACTCTTGTTGCAGCACAGGCCTCCTGTGGACACAGCAAGGCTCAGAAAAATAAAGGGATAAAAAAAGAAGCAGGACTAAAGGTTGCAGAGTGCTGCTGAATACAAGAACCAGAGAGCCCAGGGCTGGAGGAGGTCACATACGTGCTTGGCTGTGAATAGATAGTCCTAACAGGGGACCAGCACCAGTGTGTCCCCACCACCACCCCATCCCACTCATACTGACACTTGGCTAAACAGAAAAGGTCTGGCTAAATAATCAACCATGTCTGAGAAGGAAGAGGCAGGAACTTGGGTAGTTCACATGGAATCAGCAGAGGGAAAGCCTGGGAGTTTGCTTTTGGCTTGGCTAAGTTAAAGGGATGCTTGTCCTAAAGACAGGGCTGACAAGCAGCTCCTTTTTAAATGGCCAGAAAAGTCTTTGCTGAAGGAAGAGGGAAGAGTTGTGAGGCAGATATCACAGAGGGTTATAGCTGGAGGTGCTGGGCAGAAGGTGCCTGTGTGCTGAGAGGTGAAATCCAGCAGGGTGAAAGTGATGCAGGAGAGGGTTAAGCACTGACTCAGCATCTTAAATTCCCCGTAACAGCTCAGGACATTCACTGAGGCCAGTTACCATCTGTGCAGAAACATCTTTATGCAGCTCCAGACTTTTCTGCCAAAGAACCAGAGATGACAGTGGTTAGTGCAACCAGGCAGAAACCCTGCCCTGCTCAGGCAGGTTCATCCATGATCCCACCAGGCTCCTTTTGTAGGTAGTTTAAAAAACAAACCCTGATTCAGGACCAGACTCCCAAGTGGAGGTATCAGGCCTGATTTCCACTCTTCCTCACCTTTCCCCAGTAACATAAGGGAAAAGCCCTGTGGGAATACCCTTGCATAGGGCCTCCTCAGATGGGGCAATACTGCTGGGAAAGGAGCTGTCAGTTTCAGGGAGGGGCAGCAGGAACACTAGCCCTTGGGACCAAGGGAACCTTGTTGGGAAGCCTGCCTTGGGAGAGTAAACATGTCCCCATAATACAAAGGCCTTATGAAACGTGGGATGGGCAGCTGTAGAGACACATACTCCATCCCCCTCGGCCAACAGACTTGTTCAGCCTGTATCTTGCTGTCACTGTCTGCAGGAGCAAGGCCTGGGGAGAGACCTATAGGCAAAAGGCTATAAGAAAAAACAGCAGAGTGGGAAATGGAACTTGTTTGTACCACAGATGCCCGACTTAACCTCTTCTCCCCACAAGTCAGCCCTGCTGCAGCTCCTGGGCTCTCCTCCATCTCCTTCAGCCAGGAATCCTTAGGCAATTGGTAGATCTCCAGCCAAGCTTTTGTGCTGTCTGCATTGGGAAACCATGTTGAGCAATTGGAAATGAGGAGAAAAGGTCTTTCAAGCTGTTTTGTTATAGCCTTAAAAGAAGATTTGGATATTTTGGAAATATAAAATCCCCACGAGCTCCACACAGCACAGCTTTCCTCCCACTTCTGGCTTGACATGTTTGTCTGAGACTGACATCTCAGCTTCTATCTCAAGTCCTCAAGGTCCCACATCCACCAAAGAAATTTCGTGGAGTGACTCAGTCAAAGAATCAGACCTGTACCCTCTGAGGTAAAGTAGAAAGTGAGATGTGGTCACACACTGGCTCTCTGTTGATGCTACATATCTCATTTGCTGCATATATTCAGGCAGATTCCACCAAACCTGGGTCCAGAAAACCTGCCGGCAGCAAATGGGTTGCCAAAGGCAGCTGCCAAGAAACAGAAGAATGTTGCAGCAAGGAGTTTGTTGTAGTGTTTTTGGAGACTGTCTCTATGCTGTCTGGCTTATGTCTGCAGAGAAAATTCTTCAGGTCTACATATTTCCAGTGTAAAAGTGAGTCACGGTAAACCAGAGGGAGAATTGAGTCTGGTACTTCTGGAGAGGAGAGGGATACCTGCTTTCACTGAGCCTTCTGGCAGCTGGGAACTATGCTGACCAGTTCCAGAGACCTCACTTTTGGGATCAGTCTTGATTCACAGCAGGCCATTTGGAGAAGACAGGGAGTAGCGGGAGCAGCTCTCTAAGCTGGAAGAGGGACTGGGAGGGTTAGGAACAGGATCCCTGGGAACCCAGAACACTTGGAGCATTTTAAAAGCACTGCTGGCCCCTCGGCTACAACACAACAGCCATCATCCATCACACCATGTGCACTTGCCTTGCAGCAGGACTCCTGCAAAATCACCTCCTGGGGACAGCACCACCTCCACACAAGTACTTCGCTTGCTGATGTCCTCCTGCCAAAGATAAAGAGGCTGGCACCAAAGCAAGGTCACTGATTCAGAGAGCTCCATGGCCTTATGCAGCCCTCTGCGGGGTGAAGGCCAGACAGATTGTTGGAAGACCAGGAATAAATACTGGGCAGCTCCTGCTGCCGGTGACACAAATTACTGAGGGCAATTAGTCCTCCTCATGATTGATTACTTACCAGCCTGTGCCCATTCTATGGAATTAACTCGGTACTTACCACTTCATTTAGGATTTTAATGAGTAGGAAGCTTTCCTTGTGAAAGCAGAAGAGACAGACAAGCCCTGGAATAGAAATACAGAGGTAGCATTAGGAGGAGGAGGAGAAAAGTGAGCAGATGGCAGCCTTGCTCTTTGAGATGGCTGTGACAACACGTGCAGGTATAAGTTTCCTCCTAGGCTGAAAGAAGAACATCTCACTGCTTCCAGCACTAACCTTTTGGTGGCTTCCTTATGCCAGCACCAGCAAACACTTGACTGTACATAGAGATGGATAAGCCAGTTTGAAAAGTATATCCACCAGAATTTATAGGCTTCAGATGAATCAACAAACTAACCACAGGGCTGTGCAGGAGGTCATACCAAGCAATGGTTCTTTCTGACCTTCCTGAAGTTTACTGTGCATCACCTTCAGCTCTGCAAGTGCCTCTGCTGCTCCAGATAGGACACCAAACCCACACCCTCTGCTAATCACAAGGCCCTAGGGCCACTTTGCCACCCTACAACCTGTTCTCCAACGCCCTCTTTGCAGAGCTTTCTAGGAAATCTGTCAGCCACTTAATGTTCCTTCTGATTTAGCACTCTTCCATAATGCAGCTGCCAGCTCCAGAGTACAGCTATCGCCAGCTAGGTCAAGGAAATCCACGTCACACTCACCCATTTCATCCACAGCAAACAGGACATGGCCCTCATTTCCCAAATCCAAGGCATGGATAGCACAAATCTCTGTCTTGACTGCATTCCAAACACAGACCTCCGTATAGTCAGACACCTTGAAGGCAGCCAGGCCCACGGACAAGCCGACAAAGATGTATTTCCCAGACACTGCAAGACAAGTGGCTGTTCCTGTTACCTACCAAGAAAAGGAAAAGATGAGTGTACCTGACTGCTTCTCCAGTGGGAATACAATACTCCTAGTCTTTCACCAACAGAAAAAGCTGATTTATTCTACAAGGGGAAAAAATTTTGCCTGAACTTCCATCAGAAAAGCAGGGAAGGGGCTCATCTCAGTCCCACATATTGCCCTGTGTTGGGAATGAGAAAGTTTGCTTCCACATTTTCCATTCCAGTAAAAAGAAGGGTCTTTAAGTGCCAAGACCTCAGGGACACTCAGGTCTGCCACTGCTAATGCAGAGCTGGGATGGGATGCTGAATTCCTCTGGACAATCATGGAACTCCAGCATACAGCATCATATCCTCCTGAACTACGTCCTCATAACAATGGGGAAGGCAGTGCTGCCTTTTTGCTCACAGTGCTCCCATTAGGGTGATCAGCATTACACAGAGCTGAGTTTGCCCATTTCTATGCTACTGACTAACTACCTTCTCCCCAGCCAGCAAGGGTGGAGCCAGCCCGAGGAGCAGAAGGTGAATTTAGTGCTGTTTAAATTCTGCTTCTCTGTTTTCAGGGAGGTGTGATAGATGGGCGGGAAGCAGAACCCGTCAGGCAAGCTCAGAACTTGCAACCTTATGAGGTGAATCAGTGAGCTGGTGGTGGATTCTGAGGAAGGTGACGGACAGGGGGATGTGAACTCAACTGAAAGGATATTCTCTAGAAAAACGTGCTTCAGTGATTAACTCTGTCTCTGCTGTGAGGGGCTCTGTACCTGGAATTCAGCTGTAGCAAAGCATTTTGTGGGCTGGACCTTTAGTTTTTCTGCTTCTCGGAGCATCTCCCTTCTTTCAATGATTTCCATAGCATTATCAAAAACCAGCATCACCAGTTTGGTGACCATCCTGACGGGCTGAGGCAATGCATCGCGCTCTCGCTCAGGATCCTGCAGGAAGAAGTCTTCCTCATCATCCTTTAGCCAGTCCTTTTCAGATGGCAGAGGAATCTCCAGGGGTTGCCTCCGGATATACCCAGCCATGGTGGTGCCCTTCCAGATGCAAACCACACCAGAGGTGCAGGAATCACGGTGGATGCAGAAGAACGAAGAATCGGGCAGTACCTGCTTTCATGAGGTAATGGGGGGAAAAGATGATTAATGATCTCCAAGACGGAAAGGGGATCATTTCAGCATAGAAACCGTGTTACATATATGTATATAGAGAGAGATATATAGATGTAGATAACCCTTGTTTCTAGTGCCTGTATCACCCCTGTGACTCAGGGGCTTTGTCCTGCTCTGGGAATACCATCCAGACTCCAGGAAAAGGGAGTATAAAAGCTCTGGCACCGGTCTATAGGTGAATTATGCTAAAGCATTCAAAACTATAAGTTTGTTCTTCACTGAAAGACTTATTGTGCCCGGATCACCCCCAACACTTAGTTCGGGGCGCAGGTGATGACACTGGAAGTTACCCAAGCCGCCGGCTGCTTTCCGAGCCTCGCACTCTGCG